TCTTTACCGGAGCTCGGGTTTTACGGAGAACGCTAGTATATAGGATAGTATAGGTGCTATCCTACGCCCTTTAGCAATCGTTAAAAACGGTTAGCGTCGGTATAGGTTAGTATAGTCGCCTACGCCGACTAATAATCGTTAGAAAGGTAATCGCAGTATCGAAGCTCGGGTTCTACGGCTAATACAGGTTAGTATAGTCGCTATTCCTACGCTTAATAGTAGCTCCCTTTATTACTCTACGCCTAAACCTATTAAAGGGGAGGCGTTTTTGCCTAGCGCGAGCAGTTATACCTATTTAGTCTTAGTATACGTAGTTCGCGACCGCTAGTATACTATATATATATTTAGTCTTAGTATATATCGTTTACGCCGGGCGGAAGTATATAAACCTTATCTAAAAGCTTAGTTACTACTATTTAATATACCCTAACCAGGTATATCCCTAGCTAGCTAGTACTCTAGGACCTATAAGCCAGGCTTTTCTCGAGGGGTAACCTTTACTATAAAATATAAGGTGTAATAAAGATATCTTCCCTAAACTAAGGGGCGAAGCCCCGAGCTAATATATTTACGGGGGAACCCCGGAGATAGTTCGGCTCGGTAACCGTGGACCCTAATTCTAATAGTAGACCACTATAGAACACGGTTCTAATAATAGACCGCCGTGGAACACGGTTCTAATAGTAGACTGCCGTGGAACACGGTTCCCGTGCCTTATTTAGTATCTATAGTGCAGCGGGGCGTATTAACGATTCTACTAATATCTTCTATATATAGGTGCACGGCCTCTGTAATACTCGGATTATTCGTATAGATAATATTAATTCTAATAAACACGATCTTTTTTAAAAAGATATTAATGCTTTTAAGGATAATCTATAGTAGCTAATAGAGAAGTAACTACTTAATATTATTAGTTAGATCTAGGAATAGGAGCTAGGACTAGAATCATGGCCGTTTATATACCCCTAAGCTAAGGACCCCTTTCTATACACTCCTTCTTATTTTAAACCTACTCCCATTTCTTTCCCGGCCTCCCCTAGGCTATAGTTTAAAATACCCAGCCGTAAAGGCCTAGAAGTAGTAATCTCGCCTTACGGTTAAAAAGGAAGAAGATATCTACGCCTATAATATAGTAGCTATTAGTACCGTCCGCGACCACTACCACTATACTGTCTTTTTTCGGGAGGTATAAGAAGCCTATTTACTGAGCTATAAGGAAATACGGTTATAGATATAAGTACCGGCGACCTCTACGGCTATGTATTAAAGTCTTGGTTATATATAAGTAATTACATATAAGTTCGATAAATATAAGTTCCTATGTAAATATAAGGCACGGTTTATAGTGCGTAGAGATTCATAATATTAATCTACTCTCAAGGAGGCCTATGCTCCTATACATATAGGAAGGTTATTCCGCGCGTTAATACCTATCGCCAGCCGTTTTAATCTTATATTACGATATTACAAACGCGTTCGTATATACGCTCCTTCTCTATACTACCTGTATATCCGCCGCCGCTATAGGTTCTAGCTCCTACAGGACGCCTATACCTAAAAAAGGCGTTATACCATCTTAAAAAGTCCCCTCTATTATAGTAAAAGCATATTACTATAGTCTTATAAGCGGACGGGGCTTAGATAATTCTATAAAAGCCTTATTACTTCCTACGTCACGGTTTAATTATATTCTTCTACGTGTATAATATAGTTATTACTTATAAGTATTAATATAAGGAATAAATAGAATAAGCCGTTATAACCTATAGTAGTATTATAAGCTATAGGGTAGCGATCTACTATAATAGTTTCTTAGAATTAAGATTATTCCCGATCAATTAGCTTATAAGATATAGCTATTATAATACGATTATATCAGTAAGCTTAAATAACTGCTAATCTCTAGTAGCTATAGTAATAACTACTAGCCTCTTTACCTAAGTAAGGGGGCAGGTCTAATATTATATTCCGGTATGTTAACTACTGTTAAAAGGTATTATAGAATATAGAATTAGTGCTATAAGCGGCTATAATCTCCTGGCCAGATACCGTGCTTATAGTCTCTCGGTTCTACTGATTTAATATAAACCCGGGCCCGGAGTACCACGTAGCTACCGATTTCTTTATCCTATATTTACTTGGTAGCTAATTATATATATTAGAGCTCGGGAGTAGGGATATAATTAAGAGTTATACCAATACCTCCTTAACTAATAATACGATTAGCTAAGCGTTTATAGTCCGGTTATTTGGCAGTATAATCGTCTAGCAGGCTAATAAGCAAGATATAGTAATAACTTTAATAATAGAGGCAGAGCTATTAGCGTTAGTATAAGACGTAAAAGAGCGTATCTTTATATAACGGCTACTACTCGGTATAGGCGTTAAATTTAACGGTCTAGAATTACGAATCCTATACAATAATAGCTAAATAATATATCTTATTAATTAACAGATTAAAATATTCATAACGCGTTTACAGCACGTAGATATCTATAGCTACTAGCTACGGAAAGTAAATGCACGTAGAAAGATTCGTATTATTTATACCGCGAGTTCGAAAATAGTAACGGACGGATTAATAAATACGTTATATAGCTAGAAGTTTACGACGTTTAGGGCTTAGGTAGGCGTAGTGGATATACAGGACCGTCTATAGTAAAAGAAGCTAGTGGAAGTCTTAATGTATTATTTAGAGGGACTAGAAGATAAATTTAAGGGCGGCTATAATAGAGAGGTTATATTAGTTAATTCCGAATAGCTTTAAATATATAACTAACGTTTTAGCGCGATTAAGAGATATATTAAATAGACTATAGTCTTTATGGTTACGTAACAGGCATGCATTTAACTGAAGGATTATACCCTCGGTAATCCGGGCGAACGGACACCTGCAGAATTTTTACCATGGATACAACGGTGACAGCCGTTCCGTAACGGTCCTGCAGGTGACAGAACAGTACATAATCATCTCAATCAATCGACGATTTCAACCCCTCAATTTTAACCCTATTCTGACCGTTCCAGTTAGCTGTATCTGACAGGGACCAGTTTCCAGTTTCTTGAAATGCGTACCCACTAATAGCCGCTAATTTCTCGGCCCTCGCAGGGATCGCCTACTTAGTACTACACGTGTACAACGTACGTTTTGGGGACCTCGACATCCATCTGTTGATGAGACGACGCATCGGTCAGAGACTCTGCTTCGATGAACCGAGACAACGGGAAATGGGGATCGGGGAAGGCCTAGGCAACTAAAAACATTCCAAGACTGGTCTTCTCCTTCGACGGCCACTTGTGTCTCACTCTGGCCGACGAATGTGGTACCTAGGTACCTTAAGTATTGGTAAAAGATAAAAGAGGTTCAAGGTCGTTTGCGTTCGCGTGGGAAGTAAGTACGAAGTACTCCCGTAGTCCTAGGTCCGAGTCCAGTCGTCTGGTTTCTGGTACATGCCATTCATTGTCTTTCCTTTCTCACCAGTTCTCGGCATGCAGGACGATGGGGAAATGGGTCGCTCTCACGCACCAAGGAGTCCTTTATTACGCGCCACAAAGCTCACCGCGACACGGCAAGACCCCGCCGTGACGACCTATTCGAACTTTTGTAACTTATGTTGTATGTACCTTACTAAAGTACCTACCTAAGGTACCTTAGGTAGTTACCAAAGAGCAGCAAGCTACCTTAGCCTTTAATAGGTCTAGATGCCATAATTAGGTCTTTGCCTGAGAACATGCGGTGACGATCTAGAAGGTAATCTCGACATGCCACCTTATGCACCTTGCGCCCTACCCAGGTGTGATAACAAATTTGCTTACTTGCTTGCACAGCCGAATCGAGTCAAATTACTTTTGCATACGCATCAAATAAGCTAGTTATGTATGGATCGGACAAGAAGAAAGGAAGACAAACAGCGCGTAACTCGTGGTCTGGCGGAAGTCATTGGATAGCTTTAAGTAATTACGGATATCCATACCTACGGGGGCGAGGGGGGGTACAGGTCAGAGCCCAATAACTGGCCAGACTGTCGATACCTGTAGTCTTAGAACTTTATGTTAACAGAAATATCTCCGCCCCGGCTCTGGCCAGCGCAAATTCTCTGTTCGAGCCTCTGACCTATAGCCCCCTCCCCCTTAGGTACCTGTACATATGTACATTCATCACTGCCATCTATCTGTAAGGTATGTACCCAGAATAGTGGAACTGCCGAAGACGACGCCATATCATATCCTAGGCTTGGTGGATACACTTGTGACCTTCAGCCCTCAGCAGCACTAAAGCGGCCCTAACATAGGCCGTCCGTCTTTACACTAGTACCCAATCCCGTCCTCCCCGGAACACCGTTGATTTCCACAACCAAGGATCAGGGTGGCTCCTTTCGACTAGCGGACGGAGCAGGAACAGGTCGAGAGGACATGTGGAAGCAACATGGCTGTACTAATCTTATACTGAAAGACATACAAGGTCATCTCCTACATACCATCTCCTCCATTCGCCCATTATTCATTTCTCCGTACACCATACGACTTCATTTCGCCTATCCACAACATTTTTTGGATGACATTGTCTCGTGCGTTGGTCTTTGGTCATGCTCAGGACACGAGAGAGAGAGAGAGAGAGAGAGAGAGATGTCCCGCAGGCTCCAAGTCCAATCTCGGATATCCGCTCTGGTGCGCCCGCAGGAGCCTTGCGCAGTTGACTGGGCCCTAGTACGAAAAGAGGAATAATCGAATTCGTTTCCGGAAACGCCTCAACTTAAAACCAGCTTGTCCCTGAACTCCCAACTCATAGCTTCCGCAGCCGGCGGGCGGATCACACCGACGCCCGCGGCTGCCAGTTGTGCGTGTAGATTTGACTGATCCAGAAGTACCCATCTTCGTAGCACTCGTTCCGATGCAGCTCTTCCCACTCTTCCCCTAGTCGTGTGTTAGCCTAGGCTCATGCGACCCCCATCAAAATAGGTAGGGTTTGTCCCGCACTACATCAAGCTGCCGAAGATCTACAAGGGATGGGCGGGGGAGGACTCACTGTGGGCCGTGGCCCATATTCTCGTTTGATGCACAAAGTGCATTTCATTCTCGTTTAGCTCTGCCAGTCCTTGCAGATCTTGGTCTCGACATTGATCCGTGAAGGGGAAGACACCCTTGTTGCAGTAGTGGAAGTAGGAGAGAAGTATGACCGCCCCTGCAAGCTCTCGTCAGCAGGAGAAGAAGCGGCGGTGGGAGACCGAGCAAGGAGGCAGAAGATAAAGGTAAGAAACATCTCTTTCGACCCGCATGGGTCCTCACAGAGATCTAACTTGACTGGGTTATCTTACCAAAAATGTATTCTTTTACTTCCTCGTCGCGTGCCCATCGCCTCTGTGTTTCACATTGTAAAAAGTCAGCACTGCTTGACCAGAAACCTTGTCTTGATCCCAACAAAAGAAAAAAAGAAAAAAAAAAGGAGAAAGAAAAAGTCAATTTGCAGGGCCTGCCCACCTTCATCCCGTGTTTCTTCGCATATCGAGCATCGTGGTCCGTAATCAGGGCAATGTTGTGCAAGAGGATGAATGTGACCAAATACGTCGTCAGCCACGTCTTCTGCTTGGTCGCCTGCGTCATCTTCTGGAGCATGTCCAGCATCTCGCGACGAAGCCTCGACTGGATGTGCGTGATCAGGATCATATCTATCTGAGCGCCCATCACCGGCGGAAGCGGTATCTTGCCGTGCTGCGGACTTGTCTTGTCCATAATGTTACGATCCATCCCGAGCGTCTCCTCTCCCACAATGACCGTCGACCTTGTGGTCAGACGGATGGCCATCCACAGCTCGAGCGCCTTGCGAAGGAGTTCCCTCTCGTCCTTCTCGGCGTTGGGGTGCCGGGAGAGCATCCACGCAAGGTGATACGTCCGCCACAGCAGGTTTCGTTCGGTCCCAATCACCGAGTCGATGACGCTGACAAACATGCTGCCGACGGCTGACCTGATGTACTCCGAATAGGCTTCCTGAGCTTCGCCTAGATCGATAATGGCGTAGGGAGGAATAGGGACGGAGCATCTGACCCCTTGGTGCACCCAGGATCTCTCCAGCCTGTCGCCGTCCTGTGGGATGAACTTCCTGACGCGGAGTTCGACCGACGTGGGCGTCAGGCCCTCGGACAGCTTGATCCATTTCTCCTCGGGCGACGCCCAGTTGGCAATGTTATCGACGATACTGTCTTTCCAGCGTTGGGTCCACTCATAGCCATGCACTTGTCCCGGTTTGAAGAGTCTCACATCCGTCAGCTTGACACGAAGGCACGGGATCCTCCAGACTTTGGAGGGTTGCTTTCCTGTGCATGTTAGACAGGGTCCGTCCGGAGTTTTCGGGTTGCTCTGGCACTATAATACGAAAAAAAAAAGAAAAAAAAACCCTGTTAGTCATTGGACAGATGGAGGGGAAGAATTCAGATGCAACAGCTTGCTTACGCGGATGCGTTGCATTCTGCACCGAATGCAGGAGCCAATGCGCCTGGTCTGCGCAGTTTGCTCCCGTTTCTCCGGGTCTTTAAATGGACCGCGCCTTGCTGCAGGCGGTTTCTGGTTGGGGAAGACCACGTCGAGCTTCGACACAGGAGATGGACCCTGCGACTCTGTTGGATCCCGCTTGAAGCCCGAGTCAGTCAAGGGATATGCCGAGATAAACCGCGTCTGCCCTGTCGATAGTTGAGTCTGTCTGCTCACACCGGTCGTCGATCCATTGGGGTATGAAATGGATGTCACGTGATCGGAGGCCAGTTGTTCGTGCCCGTAGAAACCGTCGCGGGCTTGGCTTTGGGTAGACACCTGAGATACTGTGGGTTGGTGACTATAAAAGTCCGCAGTTGCCACGGACGTGTGCGCCGGGAAGAATATGGAGTCTTGCCCCGTGGTAGCGTCCGCGGTTAACGGACTGGTCTCGGGCAGAGGCGGGTAATTGGGCACAAACTCCCGGGTCACAGTGGGTTCACTGGCAAACGACGACGATTGATGCGAGATGATGCTGGCAGGCATGTATGACCCCGAACCCGGTAACTGAGCAGAAGGTGGTTTCTCGGCCACGTACGGTTTGTTGGTGGCGTAGTCGCATGGGTTGCACTGAGGTAGTGCCTGGTAGCCTGTTGTTATCATTTCGAATTAGCTTCGTTCTTTGCTTCGTGAGGAGGGAACTAAGGGAGGTCTAATCAGAGGAAATAATATATAAAAATGTATAAAAAAAAACAATAGAATATATATATATAATATACAATGAAAATAAAATGAAAATGAAAATGAAAAATAGAAAAAACCCGAACCTTCGGGCTGCTCCCAGCGTGTGAGGCAGCCGGGACAGACGAGAAGCTTGAGGCTTGCTAATCCATCGGAAATAGCATACGGGATGGTGTTGAGGTGAAAGCTGGACGCCGGCGGTTGTTGTCCCAGAACGTCAGCCGGGTGATCAGCATGACCATGACCGCCCGAGGGCTTCTCAGGGACGCCCTGTGGGTGAGCGTTCATGGAATGATGAGACGGCATATTTGTGGAGTAGCTTGGTGTTGCTGTCGATTTCTGTCTCTTGAGAGAGAGAGTATGAGCTTCGTTTAGGGCTAGGTTATGAAGCCGGTAGCCAGTGAGACCATATGGGAGAGCGGCTTGTTCAAGATGAGACTGGAATTCATAAGGTAAGGAGAAAAAATCCAAGCCGAGCTGGGGGGGTTGCCAACGCGGCGGGGGGGGGAAGTGGTATGAGTGAGGGTGAGCCTGGGGCGGTGGCTCTGGCGAGGCGTCTGCCTCGTTACCGAACGGCCGGCGCCTTTTGAGACTATTATGGTTCTAAAACGGGACAATCAATTTAACGCGCATACAGATAGATTATCAAGACTAGGGTAGGGGATGGCCCTCGGCGTTTCTCTAGGGGTTTTGTCTCGGTAGTTTGTCGTAAAGAAGGAAGAGGTGGGGGGTGTTAGGTCGGTGTGCGTGGATGAGAGGGCAGGTCGCAATATAGGACCCATGCAGTAGGCCGAGGACGGGGGACGGGGGACGGGGGACGGGGGGCGGGGGGCGGCGGAGGAGAGAAAGGAAAGAAGAGGGAGGGACGGGTTTTCTTACCATGATAGACGGCAGAGTGGGTGTGTTGGACAGAGGCCTTGGGAAGCAGCAAGGACCAGAGGCCGCATGTGCAAGTGCCACGTTCGGTGTGCAACGTCGGCGGGGAGTACGTAGGAAGTACGGGAGTAGGTATTCAACAGCAGAACAGGAGTGAACCAGGAAAGGCTCCGGACAAACACCAGGGCGCCTACCGGGCAGGGGTAGGAAAGCTACCGTCTCACGAGAGTCGTTGCCACACGGCGGACGCGGACATCCTTGCGCGTAGGTGGAGTTGCGGGTAGAGAACAGACCCAGAAAAACAGGGGAAGTGAACAAGAGGAGGAGGGCCAGGGACGGGGTAAACAGGGAACAGCTCTGTATGTACGAAGTATCCGTACGGATACCTAGGTAGATAGCAGTAGGTAGGCCGGAACAGAGCAGGAGGCGTGGCAGAGGAGTGAAGTTAGGAGAGAGAGAGAGAGAGCGGGGGAGAGAGAGAGATAGAGTGCTCCTTCCTTCTACTTCGTAGGAGGGCGCCACGGGCTCGGGACCGTTAAGCCAGCCGCGTGTGGGAAAAAGAAATGCTTCGAGAGAGGAGGCGGATGTGGGGAAGACGGGAAGACGAGAAATTAGAAACTAGAAACGAGAAACGAGAAACGAGAAACGAGAAAAGGGTGACAACTTGGTCTGCTCTCCGGCTCGCCTATGTGTACGTTCGGATACGGCGTACTGTTTCCGTATCCTCGTGACTCCGGCTGTTTCTGCTGTCCCTTGCTTGCCAAACACCGGTCCGAGTCTCACTTGCACTTCTTTCTCACTGTTGCGACTGTGGCTAATTTATTCTGGCCGCGATGGCCTGTTTTCGTTGTTCTGTTGATTGCGACTCGATACTTGCTGCTTCTTAGCTGCTGCCAGCCCCCGCGGCGCCCTGGACGAAAAAGAGAAATTGTAGTCGATGATTTTCGGCTCCTCGGGGCCGGGTTCGATGAGAGAACAGAGACGTTGACTCGTCGTCCGAGCGTGAACCTAACGTGTTCAAGAACGTTCCGTAAGAGAGCCAGCCGACTACGGATGTGATTTGCGCTGTGCGATGGTGAGATGGCTCCTCCTGCCGTCGTGCCGTCGGGGAGCACCGTCAACGCGACACTGGGCTTGGACCAGAAGAAATGAAAGGAAAGCAAAGGAAAGGAAAGGGAAGAGGGCCCACGCCTCAATCGATCAGTGCTCAATGCTCGTGAAGGGACCCCGACGATTGGATAGCATAGATCCCTTCGTGCTGGTTGAGCGAAGAAAGATCGAGGCTGAAATGAGAAATGAAGACTCGGTGAGAGCTTGACGTGGGTCGCAGCCGTGCTCAAATGTGGGAGACCGGTCTGAGGGGTACTCAGGGAGGACAAGGGAGGCCAGGAAGGAAGTGCGAACGATTACGGAGCAATTCGGGGTGAGGCGTCCACGCGGGCACGCGGGCAAACGCGAGGCCCAGGATGCCAAGACGCCAAGACACTGAGACACTGAGATACTGAGATACTGAGACTCCCATCGGTACTAAAAGAGATTCGTTCCGTTCAGCCTGCCTGTCCGTCAGACCGGGAAAGCGAGATCCTCAAATCAAGGGAGAGGATTCCTGGAACGATCCGGGCCGCCTATTGTCTTTGACCTCGGCCTGCGGTTCCCTGTCCGCCCACCTGCCTGTCTGGGATTCCTGGGATTCCTGGGATTCCTGTGTGTCAGCTGATACAAAAGGGCTCGAAGAACATGAGAATCAGAACAATGAGGTATTTCGGCCAACCAGTGAGTGTGATCAGTGGATATTGGACACCACCGTCCTTGGTAAGGGGGTTGGGGTTTTTCTTTTCCTTTTCCTTTTTTCCTTTTCCCTTTTCCCTTTTCTTTTATGCTTCCAGGTGACACACGGAAAACCTCGGCATTTCCCGCGAAAATTTTGATGATGGTCGGCCTGACTTGGAATTTGGTTGGTTTGCTCGGTTGGTTGCCAAACCATCAACCCATCGATCGCATCGCGAGGCAGACTCGACGGTGGCGTTGCTGGTGTAATTATGTGTCAAATCTGTTTGACTGTTTGACTGTTGGAGTGTTTGACTTGTTTGACCGTGCGATAAAGTGCAAGTGCGTGTTCAAATGCTACGAAATTGCTGTTACCATAACATCGTCGCCTCTTCTTGCAACGTTTTCGCAAAGTCGCTCAAGAGATAGTTCGGTGGTCGGTTGCATGAAGCGGCTACTCCGTACCCCCTCAAGGGGAGCCAGCCTGGTTCGCGGCCAACTATAATCCGTGATAGCTTCGTGGAGAATCTGACGGTTCACTGACCTGCTCATTGCCTTACTTCCTGAGCTTGGCTCCAGGAGAGGGAAGTCGGTCAGACTCAGCCCACCGCCACCAACGATCCGAGGTGGAGACAGCCCTTTTCGCCCTTGTCAATATGTTGATATCCCGAGTCATCATTAATGTCCTCTTGAATAGCCGGGAAAGCCGATCTACATGCAGAATTGGGGGCCAGAGGGTTTTTTTTATACCTTCTTTTTCTCCAAAATGTAGCCAGCTCACATGGTATCCGTCCATGTGGGAGGATGATGGAGGATTTTGTCCTTTTCCAAGTTAGACCCCCAGCAGCCGACCATGCCGAGTTCGGGCCATATCCTTAATAACCAAGATATAGGCATTTGTAAACATGCTACAACGTACATGGGCCATCTCTGCAGAGTACTTCGTAGACCCAGACACATCCACAGAATGACGTTCACTTGCCAAGAAACCGGGGAGTGCATTTGGTATGTCCGTCCTCTCCACGCGTGTTTCAGGTAAGCAATGTCGTTGAGGTAGGCTTTTCCTTCTTATCGAGACGGTTTCTGCGGGGGTTACCCTGTTGATTATGTTGCAGCCGCTTATGTAGTGCATGCTCGTGCTACACCGGCTATCGGTCACGACTGTCGTCCTCCGTACTGCACTGGGTTAAGCAGCCATTGAGCAGTCATCACCACCTGGCCATCGCTCTCACCGGTAGCGGTTAGGTGCACGCCCGTTCACCGATTGCCACCAAAAACCATGCAGAGGCCCCTGTTCTTCTTCACCGATGATCTCTGGCGGTCATGGGCTGCACATGCCGTGACCCCTTAACTTCCCATGAAGGGCCGGGAACCGGGGGCCAGTAGACGGTGAGTGAGCCGACCAGACGCACAGCCGAAATCAAACCTTTCTTCTTTTAACACGGTCATCGCCATGTACACCGCGTACGAAGGACCAGTGGACGTCGCTCGAGAAAGAGTGGGATGCTAGCGAATTCAGGAAATCAATCCCTGGATCTGAAGGCGGTGGGCGGTTGAAGGATCTAGGCATTCGAGTAATTATTTCGATGTCGCGTCAGCCTTTTGAATGACACACATGACACACGCTGATGCTGGAAACCTGCAGGTTCTTCGTTGACTCGCATAGAAACAACGCAGCACGTATGGATGACTAGGGGCAGTCAGTACCTTAGGCACAATAGCAAGTCAGAAGACTTGGCTTTGCGTAGTAGCGTACGATGTAGCAATCAGTCAATATGCGAGCATGGCAGGTAAGGAGCAGAAGGCAGCCAATGATTGACACCATTTGGGTGATAATGTTCGACTTGGTGTGATTGGAACTTGAAACTGTCATCAAGAGTTGCATATGGTAAGACGGATGGATTTTGACGTGGTCAGCTCCTGTCCAGTCGGCGATATGGACGTTGCGACACGTGCCTTGCAGGTTGATAGTACCTTACTTATGTACCTACGGTAAGGTACCTAAGGTAAGGTAGCTCGAGTCCACGATAAGATACGTACCTCCTCTATACCTTAAGGTACCTAAGGGAGAACTTGACGAAGACAACATCAGTCGTACAGTATTACTGTAAAGACCTAACTAAATTTGTTTTGCCACTCTTTCGCGACAAGGCCAACAACAGGTATCACTGGGACGTCCGTCTACGCATTCTAAGAAATATTCCTTATATTCCTTGGAAAGGAGACCCGATTGCAGGTCCCCAAGCCGTTTCTGTCCAGTTGGCTTCCACATTCATTACTCCGAGGAACGGAAAGACTGCTTTTTCCCCAGCTTCCTGCACCAATTTTTGTTTCGTCCTTTTGTTTAGGTGCTACTTTTGTCGCATAGGCAGGACCACGATATGGCCTATAGGGGATCCAGGGGGGATCCACTCCATGACTAAGGGCTCCGGATATCGGGGACTTCGGGTATCAGGATATGATAAGGGTGGATACCGGAAAAGACCGGATAGGATCTAAATGATATAGTACCTATAATAGAGTCTTCACCACCTAAATTAAGGGTATAAGAGATTCTCCTAGATATAACTGGATATAATACATATATATAAGATTTCTGCTCTACTAAGTTAATTATTTAAGTGCCTTTTAACGTGCGATAGTTA